GATTACAGCCTACTATATATATATGTAGTGTGTGTGCGCTCATCTATCTATATATGTGTATATATCCATCTATGTATACATGTATTTGTGTATATATATGTGTGTGTATATATATAGATAGATAGATAGATAGATAGATATAAATAGACATATGATTTTTCCTCTTTACTAGGTAGAGGAAAAAACAAGCCATAGTATTTTAGACCTTAATAGTGGATCTTATTAGTTATGATCATGGTTTCATCTTTACTTAGTACAGTAGTCACTTGCCTCTGGTTACTGTGCTACATGCTAGGTAGACATAATCAAAATGTGTAGTCTCTAACTTCAAGGAGCTTAAGGAACAGTGGGAGTGATGAACGGTTTAAATTAGTTTTGTTACCTAGTGGTGGCAAAGAGAAGGCACAGAAGGAGAAGCTGGGAGAAGAGAGAGTCCTTGGGGTTTGGGGGAGGATGGACTGGAGGAGTGGATGGCCAGGGGCAGACAGGATCCAGTTTATTGTGAGCTCCTGAGCTATTCTGAAAGCTGTTTAGTCTCTTGAGGAGTTTTATTCAGGGAGTAATGAGATCAGGCATTTATCTATCACTTAGGTGATCTGTGAAGAAATTTATGTTATTGCTGGTTCTTTCAGCAAGGTTGACTCTCTTGAGCAAATTAATCTTTTTTTTTAATATTTATTTTGGTTAGACACAATACCTTTATTTTGTTTATTTATTTATTTTTATGTGGTGTTGAGGATCAAATCCAGGGCCTTGTGCATGCTAGGTGAGCGCTCTACCACTTAGCCACAACCCCAGCCCCCAAATCAATCTTTTAACTAAAGACTGAGGAACATTGTTATTTTGTGGCTTTAGGGTATCAATATTCATGAAACATTCAGACATTAAAACATGTAAGTGTTCTAGTTACATTAGTGTAAACTAAAAAGACAACTGAACTTTTATGGTATTTTGCTTGTTGATATAAGAGAACTTCTGCTCAGATATAAGAATTTGGTTTTGAGTCATTTCTAAGGAGTTAGAGTTTTGTTGAAGACTGTTTGATTGTGTTCAGTTTCTAATGGTGAAAATGCCCAGTTAAACTTTGTAGAGGGATTTAAATAATCCCACTGAGGGACTGGTTCATGAGTATTTCTGAGTGAGGCCATGAGACACAGCGTAGGGACTGAACTTCTTTGCTTAGATATAAAACACTTCAGTAAACGTTGAAGAATACTCTAATTACTCTTCTTGTGATTTACATGTTTGACCTCCAAAAGGAAGAATGGTTTGTAAATTATACTTTTGTACAACATGATTATGAATGTGGATTTTTTTTTTTTTTGGTGTGTGTGTGTGGATTTTTTTGAATTGAAATTCACGTAACATAAATTTACCATTTTAAAGCACCACTTCTGTGTACTTTCAACACATTTTTATCACTCCAAAATGAAGCCTGTCACCAGTTAGGCAGTTATTCTTCTTTCTCTGATGCCTTAGCCAGAGCCACCCATCTGCTTTGTGTTTCTGTGGGTTTCCTTTTCCTGGGCAGTTTATTTAAATGGATGCCTATGATGCATGGTGTATATATATACACTATGGCTTGTTTTTTCCTCTACCTAGTAAAGAGGAAATTATATGTCTATCTGTATCTATCTGTCTGTCTGTCTGTCTGTCTATCTATCTGTATACACACACACATGGGTACCATGGGTTGAACTTGGGCACTTGGCCACTGAGCCACATTCCCAGTCCTATTTTGTATTTTATTTAGAGACAGGGTCTCACTGAGTTGCTTAGCGCCTTGCTTTTGCTGAGGCCGGCTTCGAACTCTCAATCCTCCTATCTCAGCCTCCCGAGCTGCTGGGATTATAGGTGTGTGCCACCACACTGGCTGATACATGACTTTTAATGCCTAGTTTCTTTTACTCACCAGCTTGTCTCAGGGTCACCCATGTCTCAGCTCACATGGGTCCTCCCTGGCATGTCTCAGGGTCATAACTCGCTCAGTTCTTTCCATCACCCGAGCACTATTCCATTGTGTTTGGGTACCACAGTCTGTTTTCCCTTCTGTTGGGATGGACACCAGGGGTTGTTCCATCTCTGGCTGTTGTGAATGGTGTGGCTGTGAGCCTCTGTGTACAAGGATTTGTTTCAGTACCTCTTTTCACTTCTGTTGGGTCTCCACTAAGAGTGGGATTGCTGGGTTTTTAGTAGTGTTGCTCAAGGTTTTGAGAACCTGCCACACTGCCTTTCATGGTGGCTAGACCCCTTTATATTCTCACTGGCAGTTTCTTAGGGTTCCAGTTTCTCCACATCTTTGCCAACACTTGTTACTTTCTGTTTTTTTAAAGGTTATTATTAGTGGCATTCTTGAAGAGGCCTCTCTGTGGTTTTGATTTTCATTTCCCTGAGGACTAACCATGTTGTCTGTCTTTTCAAGGACTTGTTGGCCTTTTGTGCATTTTCTTTGGAGAAAAGTCTATTCAAGTTCTTTGCCCCTTGTTAACATTGTATGGCTTGTCCTTTTTGAGTTATAATTGTTTTATATACTTTGGATACTAGAACAGATGTGTGATATAAGGTTTTCATTTCATTTTGTAAATTGCCTTGGTAATGGCTCTTGGTGCATAAAAGTTTTAAATTTAATTTTTTTTTAGTTGTTGATAGACCTTTATTTTCTTTATTTATATGCGGTACTGAGAACTAAACCCAGTGCCTCACACATGCCAGGCAAGTGCACTAGTGGCTGAGCCCCAGCCCCAGCCCAGAAGTTTTAAATTTTGATGAAGTCTATTCTGTTTGTTTGTTTCTTTCTTTTTTGCTTGTGGTTTTGGAGTTATACCTAAGAATCCTTTCCTAAATCCAAGGTCATGAAGATTTACCCTTGTGTTTTATTCCAAGAGTGTTCTTTTGTCTGTAGGTTTGGTTCCTGATCCATTTTATGCTGATTTTTGCATGTGGTGTGAGTTAGGGCAGTGTCTTCATTTCTTGCATGTGAATATCCAGTTATCCTGGTGCTACTATTGAAGAGACTTTCACTGGTCTTGTCACCTTTATTGAAAATCAGGTGTCCATAGATAATCTGGGTTTATTTCTAGACCCTCAATTCTAAATAGTCTAAACAGTCCTATTCTGTTTTGAATATTGTAGCTTTGCAGTAATGAAATTTTGAAATTCAGAAACATGAGTCCTCTGGCTGTGTTCTTTATTTTAAATATTGTTTGTGTTTATTTACAGTCCTTTGTATTTCCATATGAATTTGAGGATTGACTTTTCTCTTTCTGCAGTAAAGATCATTGGAATTTTGATAGGCAATATACTGAATTGGTAGATAGTTTTGGGCACTACTGCTATCTTAACAATACTAAGTTTTTCATGTTTTTGTGCATTGTAGTTTTCTGTGTACAAGTCTTTTGTTAACTTTATTCCTGTGTTTATTCTTTTGAATGCTGTTACACGAGGAATTTTTATTAGTTTAATGTTTGAATTGTTTGTCAGTGAGGGCACAGGTGATTTTGTGTATAATATTAATTGCTTGTAGTGGTCTTCTACTTTTTTTTTACTATGCAAACAAGGTCACGTAGGTATTGAGACAATGAAAAGTGGATCACTAGGTTGTTTGAAGTATATAGTGTGAAGAGTTGTGCGACATCCTTTTCAGAACAAGGCTGGAGGGTGATCCTAGCCCAGGGCTGGAGGTGGATTCTAGCCCAGGGCTGGAGGGGATTCTAGACCAGGGCTGGAGGGGATCCTAGACCAGGGCTGGAGGTGGTCCTAGAACAGGGCTGGAGATCCTAGACAGGGCTGGAGAGGATCCTAGAACAGGGCTGGAGATTATCCTAGACAGGGCTGGAAGTGGATCCTGGACTAAGGCTGGAGGTAGTCCTAGAACAAGGCTGGAGATGGATCCTAGACCAGGGCTGGAGGTAGTCCCAGAACAGGGCTGGGTGGTGGTGGTGGTGGTGGTGATCCTAGAACAGGGCTGGAGGGAATCCTAGACCAGAGCTGGAGGGGATCCTAGACCAGAGCTGGAGGGAATCCTAGAACAGGGCTGGAGGTGGTCCTAGACCAGGGCTGGAAACAATCCTAGATGAAGGCTTGAGGTGATTCTAGGACAGGGCTGGAGGTGATTCTAGATCTTGCACTGTTTCATTTTTGGCATCTTGTTCCATATGCTTGGCCATTATAAAAGAAGAGGGACCTGCCGTTTTCTTAAACTTGGAGGAAGTGTTAGCACGTACTTCATTTAAAAACTTCTTACTTTTTGTGATTTAATTCTGATGTTGTGGCGAAAGCCTTAGGGATAAAACATTTTTATCACAGTCTGGTTCAGAGATCCATGAATAAAAAAGATAAAATTGGAATGGAAGCTGATTTGAACATATAAATGAACATTAATATACATTAATTTACTGTTTTTTGTTTTCCTTGAAATAAGTTTTCAGCTGTTTAACCCTAAAATATCATTATTGATAGACATGCAAACAATTTCAACCTCATAAATAAGAAATGGAGATTTATAAATATTTAAAAAAAATTAAAAGAAAGGGGCTGGGGTTGTGGCTCAGTGGTAGAGCGCTTGCCTCGTACTTGTGAGACTCTGGGTTCGATCTTCAGCACCACATAAGAATAAATAAGTGAAATAAAGGTATTGTTTCCAACTACAACTAAAAATGCAGATTTATATTATACTTGGATGACCTGGGAAGGATGGGATCTCATGATACAGGTCATTTTTGGAATCCTGTCTCCACTGTAAGTAAGTAAGTAAGAGGTAAGTATTGTAAGGCAGGTTATTTAAGAGTAAGAGCAAATACTAGTTGAGCTTAACATGTCAGATACTGTTGAAGTCCTAGATGTTTCTGATGTAGGTCTTAGTTTCCCATCTTTATGGAAGGACAGTGGAACCTACTTCATAAAATTGTGAGGAGTAAAAGAAATAGTGTATATTAAGTACTTGGCCAGAAATGTAGTAGACATTCAGTAATCTTTATTTATAATTTTACTAACAATAACAGGAATGAGAAAAGGATAATGGGATGAGCAGCACATTTATCTGGAAGTTTAAATGGGAATATTCCTTCTGGAAAGCAATTGGGTAAGATCAAAGTCCTCACATTACTTTGTAGCAATCTCACCTCTTGGAATCTCTTCTAAGAAGATAATTAGAAATGTGAAAAGTGATTCATATTTTTTTTAAAAAATATTTTTTTTTTTTAGGTGTAGATGGACACAACACAATGCCTTTATTTTTATGTGGTGCTGAGGATCGAACCCAGGTCCCGCCCGTGCTAGGTGAGCGCTCTACCACTGAACCACAATCCCAGCCCAAGAGATTCATATTTATCCCAGAACTTTTTGTAACTGTATTAGTTGGAGTCAATTTAATATTGCTTAATAAGGGACTAGTTTGACACAATCATGATTCAGCCATGTAATGCAATGTGAAGTAGCTCTTAACACATTGTTTGTGAAGAATTTTAATAACGAGAAAATGTTTGACATAACTTGAAGCAAAATAGTGTGTAAATCATGATATAGTGAGATACAGATGGTGTCAGTATGCAAGAACAAATGCTGCTGTGGTTAGGCTGGGCGAGTGGAGCTGCGGTGAATGATGTGAGAGACAGAGAGAAAGGGTCAGACTTCAGGAAATCGCCAGCCCATTAAGGCACCTTCACAGGGTCACATGCCCAGTGTGTTGGTGAACTGACCGTCATGGGTTAGCTGGATGGTACCTGGGAAGGGGAGCTGGAAGTGAGGCAGGGCTGAGCTGCAGCATGCAAGGATGAAAATGTGTGGGCTGTCCATGAATGTAAAATAATGAGTAATCAGTGTTTGCCTCTTCCTTTCCAGTTCTCCTTAGTCTTAGCAATTAAATTTAAAAGCTAAATTCAGTTTGTCAGATTCTGAGAGAAACCACAGTGCATTTTGTATCTGCTACATTTTCATTCACCTGTAGTACTGATATTTAGGCAAGGCTTGAGTATGTTATTTTAAACTTCTGAAAACATTTTATAATTAAAATAATGTTTTAAAAAAATAACTACAAAGTTGCAGAAAAGCAAAAGCAGTACAAAACAGTATAAAGACCCACCCTTCACTTCTGTCTCCTGGAGTTACTAAATTGTTGCCTTTTGCTCTGTAAACCCAAGTACTTTATTGGAAGGTTCCTACAAACAAAAGAGTTTTTTCCCTTGGGTGATTTTCAGGTCTGGGGCAGGATATGTACAAGATGGGACTGGAAAATCTTGTGACAGAAAAATCTTGTGACAGAAAACAAAGTGTTCAAGAGTGATGGGAATATAGAAGCCAGCTTGAATGCACCTCTGCAGGCCAATTTGGAGACCACTGGGCATCAGAATAACAATTCCTAGAGTAGGTGATAACCCATTGACTAAAACAGTAGTCCTTGATTTTATATGATATAAATAAATCGAAATTTTTATGAGAAAGGCGACAATGACTATGGTAGACAGAATAATGATTCTTTCCAAAGATGACTATCACATAATACCTGAAACTTGTGAATAGTTACCTCCTATGGCAGAAAGAACTTCGCAAAGATGATTAAGCTAAGTACCTTGAGGGGAGGGGTGATTATCCTGCATTACCAGTGGTCCCAGTATAATCACAGGGGTCCTTAACAGTGGAAGAGGGAGGCAGAAGAGGATTTGGGAAAATGTGATGTGGGAAGGAATCAGTGTGTCATTGTTAGCTTCGAAATGCAGGAAAGGGCTGTGAACTTTGGACAGCTTCTAGAAAATAGCAGGCTAACAATCAATTGTTGTATAATTGAAGATATTTTTATTTTAAAAACTGCATGGATAATAGCCTAGACTAGAACAGAACTTTGTGTGATTTAAGACTAAATGACCCTACCAGGAGACCACAGTTGCTGTTTCAGACGCTACTCCTTGATGACACCCTAATGGCCATGGACTCACCTTCCCTTCTTCCCTGTTGTTAGGCGAGAGGCTGCCTGCTCACCTAACTGTGGGAATGACAGTTGAGCCAGTTATTCATTGCTTTTCTGCTCCAAACTCACCCTTCAGTACCTGCGCTTTGATGATAGACTTTAAACATTTCTTCTTCACAAAGAACATGATGCTCAACTTTATCAGATGCCACAGGAGGAAGGTGGGTCTGGCTTTCTCTTGCTCCTGCTACCTGGTCTTTTGGCAGATGGAGTCTTTGGTGGTGCTGTGTCTTAGTCATGTGCTCAGAATACACAGGCCCTCAGCAACCTCACAGCTCAGTCCTGGTGGCCGCTTTCCCATAGCCCTTTGGATGTGAACCCTTTGGACTCCGAGCCTCATGACTGCAGTGCCTCGACTACCTCTGGGTGCACACCCCAGCCTGGCTTACCTATAGCCAGGAACACTGCATGTTCCAGGTCTGCTCCCACAACAGTTCCCTGACCATTTCTGTATGCCTCGCCTCTAGCTTCAGCTTGCCTGCACCCCGCAGGGTTGTTCTGCAAGCCTGGCAACCTTGGACCAGCTCCCATCCAGCCCACTAAGGGATAGTCTCTGTTATCTAGTGTGGTGAAACACACTTGCTCCAGGACTAATTCTAGCCTCAGGGAGGACCTCTCTTCAGGTGTGCCCTGTTTGGTATTGCCCTCAATCATAGTTTAATAATTCTTATTCTTAAAAAAATTAGGAACAGCTATATTGATTGTGATAGACACCCAATAAGCTTTGCATATTTGCAGTATATACCTTGATGAGCTCTGACATTTACATAGCTATGAAACCATTACAGTTATTAAGCTGATGACATGACCATCACTCCCAGAGGTTTCCACATGCCCTTCTGGAATCCCTCTCTCCTGCCCCCTCTACTTTTCTTCTTATCTTTACGTTTCACTATCCTGTCACAGTTTAATAATTATTGATATTAATGATCCCTTTAGTGTGCTTATGGTTTGTCTCATGATCAAACTCTTTGTGGCACAGAATTGATATCTGGAGAGGTCCTAGGAGAGAGATGTAAAACCTGAGATTCTGGTATTGATTTGGTTGCTCCTTGTGGCCTCAGGAGAGTGCTCCTTGTTGTGGGGAATGTCACAGTTTCTTAAGCTGTCACCTCTCGTTGGTGTAGTACCACCAGATGCACATGCCTTGACCCCAGGTAGCTGCATGTGTGGCCTTTATGGCCATAATGGTAACCAGGGGCCTGCAGTGTGGGGTGAAGGTATTTTGGTGTAGCTGAGTGCTTACAGAGAGAAAGCCTCGGCTTAGGTTTGTTTATTCTTTCCCCAAGATCTGTCCCCTTTTCATTCTTTTTTGATTGCGTATTGCTCTTCAGAAGAAATAATTTCATCTCTTCTAAATTGTGAATAGACTTGGGAGTTAAGAGCTTTGTTACGTGTTCATTTTAGTAAATGGTTTTCTATATTGTATAAAAGCAGTGCATATTTATAAATTTGAATTGGTGCAATGGAGTTAAGATTTCTGTGTATTTTATTTTGTCTTTTGTTTAGTGTATGTTATGTAAAATGAAATAGACTTTAGAAAGTTTTTTTTTAATTCTGAAGCACACAGATAAGTATAAAGAAGATAATAAAAAGCATAGAGTCCCCCATGCAGATTTTACATAGAATCCCACCATTCAGAGTTTACATGTATTAACAGATTATTTTGTTTTACAGTAGGTTTTTTTTTTCTTTTTGAGTTGATATCTTACTATGTTGGTGTCCAGGCTGGCCTCCAACTCCTGGACTCAAATGGTCCTCCTGCCTTAGCGTCCTTAGTAGCTGGGACTACATGCATATACCACTGTACCTATCTTTAATGGCAACGGTTTTTGATTTCTTTGGCCATGATGGGACCAACCCAGAGCCTTGTACAAGCTAGACAAATGCTCTGTCTCTGAGCTCTATCCCCAATCCTGTATAAAACATTTTTAACATTACAGTCTTAAATTTTATTTTAGCTTAGTTAGCATATGGCTACATTCAGAGGTTATGTAGAAGCTGATATATCAAGAGAGGCTGAGTATAAATTCATCCTACAAACATTAAGCACATAACACATGCTTGCCACTGTTTGTATACATATAAAATAAAGATTTGTCTCTCTGAGGAATATATACTTTTGTGGTAAAGGGGGACATTAAATAATAAAATAATAAGAAAATGATAGAAAGTGGTAAGTATTATGAAAGGTTAAAAAAGCAGAGGAGGTTCTGTGAGGAGTGAGGCGTGGCAGGCATGTGGACGGGCTGCACTTGGTGCCAGGGGAGAGTGGAGTACATACAGAAGGAGGTCAGGGACAGAGCTGTGTGCTGGTGTGTGAAGACACGGTGGTTGTAATCAGAGGTGATGGTGCCCTATGCCCTCCGCCATTAACACAGGGCAGATTTTACACTTACACACCCAGACTGACTGTGGGTCATCGCATGCTCAGCTTTTTGTATATAAATTAAAGAAAAAGGAGTGGGAATGGAGATGGGAAGCAAGGGAAGAGGTTCAGTGTGACTGTGGTATTTGTGCAGAGAACTTTGAGTCCCTGGAAGAGGGAACAACAGTACAAGTTACTTTCTTCCTACATTGTTTCTTTTTTATTTTAAAGCTTTTTTTTTTCAAGGATTAGAAGGAAAAACACTCATGTTATATGAGTGGCTGGCACAGAATTAAGTGTTCTATCAGTATTGGCTGCAATGGTGTGGGTGCCATTCGTGTGAGGCATCATAAAAATAAAAATAAAGGGGCAGGGGTTTTGATTTTAATGATCCCTTTAGTGTGCTTACGGCTCAGTGGTAGAGTGCTCACCTAGCATGCTTGAGGCACAGTGTTCAATCCTCAGCACCATATAAAAACAAAATAAAGGTATTGTGTCCATCTAAAACTAAAAAATAAATAAAAATAAAGCGTTCTGCTTTAGGAGATTGATGCTTTCAAGTACATGGGGCATGAATTCTGATGACCGAGACAACCAGAATTTTTACCGTGTTTCCCTAAATGGTGCTTAGGATATCTGTGAAAGTAGTTTCATTGTTAATTGTCTCTTTCTTGTTTGCATGTGGCTTATTGCCGGAGTTGGCAGCCTTTGGCTCTGGTGACAGCAGGGGAATTAGAGAGGATCATGAAGTGTTTTTTTGTTAGCATTCCTATTTCTTTTTTTTCCTTTCTGCTCAGATTTGATCCTCTACCACTGTGCATTGGCTGGCAAGAGGTTTAAGCACAATGGTGTGATCGAGCCACTTGCCTGTCTGTGGTGGTGAAGAGTGTTTTCCAGATTTGACTTAATCATAAGGATCACTAGGTGACACTACACAAAATCAGATTA